AAAAAAAAAAAAAAGAAAAAAGAAAAAATTTCTAAAAAGAAAGGAGAGACTATTTGACTAGACAGAGAAAAGAAAATAAAAAGCAAAGACCAGGATAGGTATGGCAGTGCACAGCTGTAATCCCTGCTACTTTGGAGATGGAGGCAGGAGGAATACAAATTCAAAGCAGCCTGGTCAACAGTGAGATCCTACTTCAAATAAGATAAAAAGGGTGAGGGGTGCAGGTCAGTGGCAAAGCACTTGTCTAGCATGAACAAAAACACTGGGTTTTATCCCAGGTATTGGGGGACTGGGGATGGGGCTGAGATCATAGCTGCAAGAGACATCTATACCATTAAGCCTTGGGAAGCAAAAAGACTTGGAACTATAATTCTGTGTGTCTCTGGAGAAGGGAGGTTCAAAAAAGCCAGGAAAACTTTCTGCTAGGTTCTTACTTATGCTCGTATAAACATATACTAACGAAGTCTAAATAACCTCATGTTCTAATGCAAAGGAATAAATAACCCTCACAGCTAACCCTTCCACTTTTTTTTAGCAATATCAAGCAAGACAAGTGAATGAAAGTCATCCAAAGAATTTTTCCTGTATAAATACTTACTTTATATTTCTGAAGTCATCACAGACCAGGAAGCAGAAGATTATTGATATTAACATTATCAATTTCACCAACAAATTACCCTTTGTGGGGGGTTTGAGACAGGGTCTTGCTGTGTAGTCCAGGCTGGTTTTGAACTCACTATGTAGCCCAAGTTAGATTCAAATTCATGGCGATCCTTCTGCCTCAGCCTCCTGAGTGCTGGGCATACAGGCATGTGCCACCATGCCCAGTAAGATCTACCATTTATAGTATATTAGGCACCATATTAAATATCCTACATATACTGTATGTTTTCTTTCAATCTCATAATAACCTTATATAGTAGGTATTATCTTCACTTGCAGTGAGAAATTGAAGTTCAGAGAAATTCAGTAATTTGCCAAAGATCACACTGCAGTAAATTAGTTGTCTGACTCAAAATTAAGTGCTCTTTGTATCAGAAAAAAATCAAGCCAAAACATTTTAACAGTTCAAATCACCTTGGGATGTTACAAACATCCAGGAGACATGAAGAAAAGTCAGTAAAGATAGTGCAGGGCCCGACTGGTCATTTACAAATGAGGCCACTGTGCCCACCACCCGCTACTGCAGAGCTGAGGAGCAAAGAAGGCATGGTTATGGTTTAAGACAGGTTAAGGGTTCCAGGGACCCCCACTGGGTGTCTTCCACCACAGAACTCTACCAGGAAGCTCCCATCTACCCCTGCCTGAAGTTAAGGCCAACATTTTATGCTGCTAAGTTTTTATTAGACTTCTTTAAATTCTTAAGTTACTTGCTTTAACTGTTTTATCCTAACCAATTCCTTAAAGAAATTTTCATTTATTTTAACCAGGACTCATGAACTTTTAGTCTTGAATATTATGCTTAGTTTCACTTAACTTACTTTTTAGTTGCCTATTTTGCTTTTACAACCACATCATTTATTTCTGTGTATTTGATGGCCTCCCATAAGTTAGATATACGGCACATCTAATTCTTCTTTTTTGGTTTTTATGTTTGTTTAGAAATGTGACTTTTAAACTTTGTTTAACCCAGACAATTTAGAATCATCTTTTTTGAAGGGTTTATTCTCTTTTCTAAACAGTAGACTGGAAAGCAGGGTGTAGTGGTAAAAGCTATGGAGTGTGTTTAGATCCTAGGTAGGCAAGTTATTCTTTCACTAAACTTCCACCTTAACCCTAAATATATGGTAGAGACCTTTAAATATTTTGATTTCACTTACTCTTTAATGTTAATTCTTATCATTTTAACTGGGAAGACTCTAAAAGCCCATAGATTAAAACAACCCTCCTTAATAACAATCCTATCTCCTCAGAGAACAACACAACTGAACCTGATTTTCTTTCTCCTACTACACAGCAGACAGTTTTTTTGCCAAGGAATCCCATGCATAACAAAGCCATTGTCTTTGTTATATGTAATCTCTGTAGCAGCATAAATAGATTTGTAAAGGGAAGGGAGGTGCTCAGAGATTCTACCTGGGAAAGGACTGACAAGCCAGCTTCCTGTATTTAAAGGATATACTCCTTGATACTAAATCTCCTGATGGAACTTCTGCTGGGAGATATTAAAGGTGATTAATCATCAAGCTTTCAGACATTTCACATTTCCTAGTTACTGCAGGGTCAGTGGCAATAACTTATTCTCACTTTTTTCAATATAAGAACAAAAGAAAGCAAAGAGAAGCAAAGCAAACAACAGCTAGTATCCCTCAAATTTAAGGTTTGGTATTATGTAAAAATCAGCCTAACATTTTCACAAAAATAGTATTTATATAAAAATGAACATTCAAATATTTCTGTTGGTGTTCTAAGGCTTGTTCAGAAATGAAGCAGAAACCAGTTATCGTGGGAGGGGAGAGTGGAAAGTGATGTGTGTGTGTGTGTGTGTGTGTGTGTGTGTGTGTAAGTGTGTGTGTGTGTGTGTGTGTGTGTGTGTGTGTGTGTACGATAAGAAAGACATCTCTTATAGGTAGACTTTTTATGTTTGCAGCCAGTAAATAATAGTAATCTTGTAATGTAATAATGTAATAATAATTTTGAGAAGGGAGAATTTCAAAGGACAGAAAGAGGTCTAACATCTAGCATCATTATTAAAACAAATTCCAACTCAGACACATTCAGATTTTTACTGTAAAAAAAAAAGAAACTGGCAAAATCCCATCTTTGGTTAAGAGTTCAAATCAATCCTAAAGTTCTTCTGTTTAACTTTACTGTTAATATCTGTGAATTGAGACATAGTTAACTTTAAGTGACCTTAAAATGTTTCATAAAATACATTAATAATTTTCATTTATCCTTAAAATTTCCAAGTGAAGGTGTCAAAAATGAATTATAGACGAGATGACTGGATCAAAATATTTTTGAACAGCTTAGCATTACAAATGTATCAACACAGCTTTAAGAATCCTAACCTTTGGTGTTTCTCTATCAAAACATAACCATGTCCAAACACAATCAGCTGACAAATGATTAATAAAAATAAAAACTCAGAAGAGGAAAAAAAAATCATGGTAAAAGGACTTGGGTACTAAGTTTATAGTCCATTTTTAAAAGGATTAAATAACCATGGGAACTGTGAATAGAGAAAATAATGTAAATGTTATAATCTAATGAAAAACTAACTAAAATTAAGAAAGCCATAAAAGAAAGGCTGGGAAGCAAGGGTGAGTGATGTGAATTTCCTTACAGACATGGCATCATGTGTATCATTAAAACCAAAATGTAATCATGAACATATAGACATAATAATTCTATCTATTACAATTACTCAGGCTTTTTAAATGATAGATTTATCAAAAGGTAATATGGTAATGCATCACTTATTTGAAATTTAGAAACTCCTCAGTTTTATATAAGTTTTTTTAGAAGAGATTGAATACTATATTTTTAAAAGCAAGAACTATTTTCTAAAAGTATATCAACATAGGCAAAAAAAAAAATCTAGAGTGATGTTCACCAAATGATAATGACGGTTATTTCTGGAAGATAGAATGAATATATTGTAATATTTTCTTTTAAAATCCTTCTGTGTGACTGTCTGTACTGCATTATTTTAAAAAATGAATATGTATCACTTCATGGAAACGTTTTTTAGTAAAGAAAAATCACATTTAGATGCAAGTGTGTTTGTTATGCACAATTTATATTTTTAATAATTTTCATAATTTATGACCTTAAAAAATCCTCGATAAAAACTTAGAGAAAAAATTTTATTCATCTCAGAACAGAAAACATACCAAGATTTGTCATTGTCATTGTAACATGTGCAGCTAACTACATATAATAAATTAACTTTGTTCCTCTTTTCAGAAACCCAGGCTATGGAAAGATGCCAGGCGGTATGATGTCAGAGGATGGGGCCCTGGAGGGGCAGGTACAGAGGAGTGAAGCCATGTTGTGATACAACTTCACTTCTTAAAACCACTGCAGAATTTAGCTGTCAATCACATCTCACTCGTTTCTGCTTTGCTGCTGTCACACCACCTGCACCAGGTACTTACTTGTCTATACCTCTTTCAGTTTTATTTTCTTTCTTTGTACATCTGGGGATCTGTCACAGCAGTGGTTCCAACCTTGCCAGCACACTGCAGTCATGGAGGGAGCCTTAAACCATACTGATGACTGGGTCCTAGCCCCAGCGACTTTCATTTAATTGATCTTAGGTACAGTCTGAACAATGTGATTTTTCAAAGTTCCCCAGGTGACTCTAATGCGTAGCCAAAGCTAAGAACTACTATATCACAGTCTTTTTTAACCTTTTCTCAGCTGTCTCTGTATCCCTGGAGGTCTTTGCTCCAGTTCTTCATGTTCACTTTCATCCACAGGGACAAGAAAGATGATAAATGACCACATACACATAGTAGCACTACATGGAATACACAAAATCTCAGTCCAAAGACACCAGGGACATCTAGTATTCAGGTACCTTATATTTTGTAGCACAAACGAATCTAAGAACATAAAGCCTTTTGTGAGAAGAAAGAGGCCAGACACTCATAATATCTTTAGGAGTCTTATACTCCTGGGAACACTAAAAAGTGATTAAAATCCGGCTGAATTAAACTCAGGTGGCCAAGAGGGAAATGGAAATAGAATTAATTCCTAGTTTCAGAACAGAACTGGCTTTTAAATGCTTCAGTAGTCCCTCTCCTACCTCTCGTTGCTGCTGGTTCAAATTATGAGAATTTCTCTGGCAAAGAGCAATTGTCTCTACCGTGGTATCTTCAACTTCATTCAGTAAGGAATCCTCTTTGGTATCTAGATTCACAAAGAGTACAAGCATCACTTACGGATGTTACTGATAATCTCAGAGTTTCTGTGAAAAATTAAAACTCTTCTTTTCCTTTGCAAGGCCTTGTTTTTCTTTTCTATATTCATCCAGAAGACTTGACACTGAGGTTTAGTATAAAAAAATAGATCTATGTAAATGTTTGGCATTAAAAATATACATAAAGCACATCACACTTAGCATTTTATTATGCTTTAGCTATTGGAAGCATATGTGAGTTGGTTAATAAAGATTATCTTTCCCCTATCTTGCTCTATCACCTCTTCCTGTATTTCTTAAATGTAGTGATTTCCCCCAAGATACTGTCTTAGTCTCTTTTCTCTTTGCAGTTTTCAATTATTACAGCCACTCTTGTATCCCAATGTCATGTCTCTGTTAAAAATTTTCAAATACATCTCAGCCTTTATTTCATTCACAATCTCCAGGTTGAATTGTGGGTCCTGAGACACAATCCACATAGGTGTCCCGCACGCATTTTAAACTTTGTATGTGCAAAACAAAACAAAACAAAAACACTTTGCGCAAAATCCAGTTTTACTCATTAAAATCTGCTCCTCACCCTACATTTCCAAGCTGTTAATGGAATCATCTTTCAGTCAATTAGTTTATGTCTTCATCTCCCTCGATACTTTCTTCTCCTTACTTAACTTCATATATGCAAATGCCGATTTTGTTGATTCTCCTTCCATGCACACCTGTACCCACTACGTCTGCCCTAGTGAACTCTGTACAGGTCTGTGCCCCTGCAACAGTCTTCATTGACTTCCAGACCTTACCTCCCAGATTCTCTTTTCGGAAACACTCATCCCAATCACTCCTCTCCACAAAAACAATCAAAGATTCCCAATCCTTAAACAGAGAATGTAAACAAGCCTCTGATCCTAAGTAACAGTAAAGATTCGGGTGCATTTTCTTCCCCTCTCTGTGCTGGTATTGCTGACATATTTCCTAATCTCTGAGGTTCTAGCCAGGCACTTCAATACTCAGGTCCTACTCAGCCTGGAAGACCCTGTCCTGCTTTGTCTAATAAACTCCTCTTCCTCCTTTTATACTTAAAGGCCATACCTCCCACAAAACTCTTATCCACTGGCTGCAAACAACAGTCTCCTGGTTTTCCACACTCCTTTGCCATTCTCACTATACTTAAATGTCCCATGTGACTTGCTTTAATCATTTTTATGTGTGGATGTCTCCTTCGTTAAGACTGTAGTTCTTCAGGAAAGGGAGAGCTGCTTCAGGCATCCGTGTATAGCCCAAAGGAACTAAGCACAGTGTCTTGCAACTACCAAGAATTTTCCTTCAAAATTCTTAAGCATAATGTGGAGAATGAATTGAAAAGCAGATGACTATTACTGGTGTGACTAGGAGACTGTTACTGGAAAATGTATCCTCACTGGAATTTTAAAAACATGCAACCTACAAATCATTGTAGCAATTTTGGGGAAAACATTCTCCTTACTTTTCTATCACCCTTTCCTGTACTGTATGCAAAATTATTCTCAGAACATTAAATTTAAATAAATAATTACACATCTTAAAGTGCAATAAATCTAATTAAATTGACAGAATACATATTGATAGTTCAAAAAGAATTAAATGTCTAGTTAGATTATCAATAAGGAAAAGTCAACCAAGTATTTACTGCAGTTCCAAAAAAGGTTTAGTGTAATTCAAGGTGATGAAGACACAACACAGATTCTACTATCTCATTCCTAACCATAAAAAATATAAATGATTTAGAGAAAATTAGGGGGGGGTCAGGGATTTGGCTCAGTGGTTCCACTGCCTGCCTTGTAAGCACAAGGGCCTGAGTTTGATCACTGGTATAAAAAAAAAAAAAAAAAAAAATTGAGAGAGAATTAGGGTAAAAGTGTATCAAAGGACTGTGTGAGCCAAGGGATGAAAGAATAATGTTGTGTTAAAGAGGCAGGATAGTCTAAAAACCACCTATCAAAGGATTTCCCTGACTTTCAGGTAAGCTATTTTGAATTTTAGTGCATGTGCTGCCAAAGCGAGCACAAGGTGAGCTATTTGAAAATGTCATGGAATATAAAAGCAAACAATCTGATTAAAAAATGGATAAAGGTCTTGAATAGATATTTCTCAAAAAAAGATATACAAATAGCCAAAAAGAAAATGAGATGTTCAACAACATAATCAGTAGAGAAATGCAATCAAAACTACAAATGAGATGCCATCTCCCACCCAATAGGAGAGCTGCTATCCTTGCTCTGCCCACAATCCTCCCCCGCCCCAGCCACAAAATAAAACTGTTGGTGAGGATATGGAGAACCTGTAATCCTTATGTACTCGGGGTGGGAAGGTGAAATGATACAGCTGCTATGGAAAACAGTATGTTGATTCCTCAAAAAATTAAAAGTAGATTTACTACTTATGAGCCTTAAAGACATTTCGCTGAGTAAAATAAGACTAACAGAAGAAACACTGTATGGTTCTCACAGTGATCAAACGTAGAAAAAGAAAGCAAAGCGGAAGGGTGGTTTCCAGGGGCCAGGGGAGGGAGGAATTGGTGAGTTGTTGCTTAATGAGTACAGATTTTCAGTTTGGGGAGATGAAAAATGTGGGGCACAGATGGTAGTAACCATTGTTTAATAAATTGTTTAATAATGTGAAAGTACATAATGCCACCAAGCTATATACTTAAAAGTGGTAAATTTTATTTTACATTTATTTTACCATAATTTTAAAAATTTATTTAAAAAAATGTCAAAGAACATACTGTGTCAAAGGCACTCAAGATTCTAAACTGTCAAGTTTAACTACTTTGAGCAAAAATTGTGCAAATTCAGTATAGAAACACTGGCTATTACTGATTAGCAGTTTTGATTTGCTGCTATTCATCATATTACACTAAGTTTTAAGATGCTAATTATGCCCCTCATTCTCACATAACCAAATTACAAGTAGAGAAAAAAATATGTACTCAAAAAGATACTCAAGAAGAGTAAACAGTGTCTAATTTACTGTACTTTTAACTTCACAAACAATTGGCACCACCAAGCCATGACAGTTTAAATTAGTTTTCCTATTACTGATGGAGAAAACTTTGTAAATAGCAAAACCTACAAAATGTCACAACGTATAATGACTTCTGCAGTTCCTAACAGCAGTTTGCTTTGTTTACTTCAGAATTAACAGACACTGGAGGCATTAATAACTGAGACAGCTGGTCTCATCCTGAGAAAACAGAGCACATCAAGACCCTGAGCTCCAAAGTTCTATAAACTACATGATTGTAAAAGTGTCAGGGTGAAAAGGACCTTTGTTAACTTTGCTTTCCTAACTGGGAACACCCCTTCCCCTGGGCTACAATAGATAGCTAGATGAATCTTAAAGGTAAATTCCCCTAACAACAAGAAGTGCTAGCTACATCTGGGTTAAAATTTAACTATCTGCTGACCATGATTTGTATATCAGCAATGTGAACTGTGAGAATGAAATGTAATCACCTGAATAAAATCAAGGCTATAAAACCCTATCAAAGAAGGAGCTGTAACCCAATGCATAGTCAATCCTGGCACTGCTTTTAGGTGTGATCAACCTTTGTCGACAAAGTTAACTTTTTCTTATTTTACTTCCATTCTGCACCTCTCTGTGTGTCACTTACCAATTCCTTCCGTAACATTATGAACACCCGAAAACTAGCTAAAATTTAGATTCATGTGAAAGTGGATAGACAGTAATTATGCAGATGGTTCAATGTAATTATTACTTAATAAAGGCAGTTTATTGAAAAATTTTTAAAAACCTGAGGTTTGTGGAAGAAAAAAAATGTATTACATTCAAGAACTTACTTTCAGCTTGATGTGTTATCTCTTGAAGCTTGCTCTGCAGTCTCTACATAAAAATAATACAGGAGGTAACATGAACACCTTATATTTCTATTCACCACATTATTTGAACTAACACATTTTAAAGCTAAAAGCCCAAGAAGTAGTAAAGTTTTTAAGATGCTCCCTTACTATAACTCAGAAGTGAATACTGTGTGTGAAGCTAGCAGTATGGGAAGGGACCCAAAAGATCAAGTATCGCTTATTCTGCCCACGTCTGTTACCACCACCACATAGTTGTCACTCAGAGTTTTTAGGCACAGAAATGAGGATTAGGATTTATCTATGCTCTGGATAAGGGTATAAAATTTACTAGGTTATGAGAAAAAGGGGTAGGCTGGGTGGACAGGAACAAAAAGAAGCAACAAGGGTCTCCCCATAACACAGGGTATAATCCTGGGTGTGATTTCTCTCCAAATATGTAGCTGTAGCATCTGCTGCTCTACTGAATTCTAGATCTTAAGATTCCAAAGGCTTCTTGCTACGTATTTGAAGCTGATACTAATATGTCCCATCTACAAAAGACTTGCTGCTTTTTAAAGGGTCCTTTATAGGACAGTTATCTAGAATATATAAAGAACGCAAAACAACCAGCTCCCCCACATATAAAGACCTAGTTCAAAAATTGGCATCTGAAATGAACAGACATTTCTCAGACAAAGAAGTAAAAGCATCAAGTAAATATATGAAAAAATGTTCCACAGCACTGGTCATTCGAGAGATGCAGATGAAAACAACACTGAGATTCCACCTCACCCCACAAAAAAAAGGCTGCTATCAAGAAATCACACAAGAACAAATGTTGGCGGGGTTGTGGGGAGAAAGGAACCCCCCTCCACTGTTAGTGGGAGTAGTGGTGCAACCACTATGGAAATCAATATGGAGATACCTCAAAGAACTAGGATTAGAGGTTCCATTTGACCCAGCCATCCCTCTTCTGGGTATCTTTCCAAAAGAATTAAAAGAATCATATCACAGTGATATATGCACACCCATGTTTATAGCAGCACAGTTTGTAATAGCTAAAACTTGGAAAGAGCCCATTTGCCCATCAGTTGAAGACTGGATAAAGAAGATGTGGTTTTTCTAAAAAATGGAGTACTACTCAGCCATAAAGATGAAAAACTAGATTCATTCATACGAAAATGGATGCATATTGATATCACACTCTTAAGCAAAATAAGTAAGTCACACATGTGGAAATACCAAATAGTTTCTCTGGTGTGAAAAACTATAATTGTAAATAAAATCCTAATGGTGTAATTGACAATGTGAAATTGGAAGAAAGGGGCTAAAGGTGTAAGGGAAGTGGGAAGGGTAGGGGAAAGGAAATAAGGGAAAAGAAAAAAATACGTGAAAACAAAAAAAATGGAAATAAAGTTTTTGTAAATAGGGAAGGGAGGAGGGGGGTGGAGGAAGGGCAAGGTATGGGGAAAAATGAGAACCAAGATTTGTCATGTAAAGGTACAAGTTCCCAATGATGAATGTAACTGTACTGTATACCTAAAATGCACTGATAAACTCAATGAGGGGGAAAAGAAGCGTCCCTTATAGATTAAAAATAACAGACTATTAAGGTAGATTCACCATTCTGTACTCCTCCTCACTTATACCAGGGTGAGATGATTCATAAATTCTAAAATATACCCCTTCCATTTCCATGGTACTGGATACTGAATCCAGGGCCTTCTCGCTGAGCTATAGATCCCTATTCCTTTTTAACATTTCTTATTTTGAGACAGAGTCTCACAAAGTTGTCCAGGTGAGACTTGAACTTCCATCCTCCTGCTTCAGCCCCACAGGCAACTCACACCTGAACTACTGTGAATGGCCTTCCACGTGCTCTCTGCTTTCCGTTTTTCTCTCCCTTCTTTTCATCTCACTCCCCATATCCCCACCTAATCTTCCACAGCCAACAGAGTGCTTTATGAAACAAGCAAGTCAGTTCTTTCCTTCACAGTTCCTTAGCATGTCCCACAAAGTCTGCTCAGATTTATATCCGGCTCTTGTTCCTGCCTATCCATTGTGCGGATGAGTCCTAAGCAATGCGGCTGGCCCTCTCAATAGCCCACACTTCTTTGTATTCCCAAGACTTTTCAAGTAAGGTTGCATTCTTTGCCAAGATCTGCTGTCTCTCTCTCCCTATTCATGCCAGGAATACTTTTGTTTATCCTTTAAAACTAGCTTCATGGTAATGTTAACAAAAAAATTTCATATTAATTTCCAAATTAAAAGAAATTAAGAGCCTATACAAAGCTGCTGAGCAGTATTCTTCCTGGCCTGTTTTAAGACCATATGGCTAGAATGTAGAAGTTTATTTTTTTATATAAATAGGACATCCTTAATCTATTCCAAGCTGAATGACAATGTTAAAAAAGAAAGAAAGAAAACAAAGGGAACTTCCTGGAGTGAAGGTCATGTTCTCCATCTTGTTTCGTATAGGTATTTTGTCAAAAACTCACCCAATGGTGCACTTAAAACTTATGTTTGGTTGAATGTAACTTTTCTTCAAAAACTTTTAAAAGTACCACAAAGAAATACTGAATTCTGTTCAATGATAAGAATGATAAAAATGTTCATGAGTAAAATGTACTGTTGTCTGCAATTTACCTTGAAACAAAAGAAATTAAGATGGCCTGATGAATGGATAGACAGAAATATGACAAGACAAATGCAGTAAAATATTACCTTTAGCATTATTGAGAAGGCACCAGGAATATCTCCTTTCTTTTCCAATAGATAGGCAGTGACTTCATGGAGCTGATACTTTTGAGTAATCTAGGAATAATGAAAAGATAAACTTTTCTTTAAAAATCTTGTTTGTGGAGTGGGAAGACCTCATTAAAGATGGGAAAACCCTGATATGATGATAAAGAATTCATACCTTAGGCTATGTACAAAAAAAAGCAACCCAAAAAACTCTGCAATGAAAACTATTTAATGTAAAGTGTTGGACACATTCCCTTTTAAATTAGGAACAAGGCTATACAGCACACTATTGCTGCTTCTACTTAACAATATCCTAGAGGACCTAGATAACTGCTAAGAGAAGAAAAAAATGTTAAGATCGGATAAAAAAATCTTAAGTGCCAACTTTCTCAAAAAATATTATTTTTATAAAATATCTAAAAGCTAAATGAACTAAAAAAGAACTCAGCCTAACTGCCAAATAATACACAAAATGGTGTGGAAATAAGACACATGCACAAACTTAAATCTTACAAGAAACTACTGATAAATTTTTAAAAAGTCCCTAAAATTCAAGCTCAAAGAGGCCAGGATAGATTGGAAGAAGGCATATCCTCATGTATAAAATCAAAGATGAGAGAACAGAAATTAGAAAGAACTAGAACTCAGAAAAAAGAGGGGGGAAAAAGCAATAGAAAAACAGGCAAATTATACGAACAGAAAACCCAAGCAACCATTAAACATGGAAATATGGTCAAGGTCATGAGTAATCAATAACACTGATCATTGTATCAAAAATTAGAAACATCAATTAAATCCCCGGTACCAAAAAAAAAAAAAAAAATTAGAAACATCAAGACATGGGAAAACAGTAAATTGCTACTGAGGAAACATTTAGGAAATCAACAGGGCAATACAGTATTAGTAGAATTTAGCTACTCTATTCCCTAGATACAATCTCATTTCTAGGTATAGCATTTAAAAACTTTGTGTGGGTAAACAACAAGACATGTACAAGAAAAAACAAAGAAGATACGTACAAGCATGTGCACTGCTGTACTGTTTATAACAGTAAATGCCTGGGAACATGCTAAGTATCAACAGAGAAACACACTGGCATTTGTATTTAATAGACTACTAGATGGCTATTAAAGTGAATAAAGTAGAACTGTAGGTATAAAACTTTTAAAAAGCAGTGATGAAAGCATAACAACACTGACATAAAAGTTTTAAAAAAGCTATCATGGCTTTTCCCCACCAGTGGTACCAAGGGTTGAACCCAGGGCCTCACAAAAGCTAGGCAAATGCTCTCCCACTAAGCTGTATCTCTAGCCCCATGCCATGTATTTTATAGGCACATATACAAATACAGGAAAAATTAATATCAAGAGTTGAAAGGATAAATACCAGCTTTACATAGGTGGTAACCTCTGAGGAGAAAGGAGAAGATAAAGTGTGCTTTATTTGTTTGTTTGTTTGCTTTATTATAATACCAACAAATTGAACCTAGAGAGTACCGAGCTACATCCCAGGCCTTTCCATTTTTTTTTTTTTAAATCTTGAAGCATGGTCTCCTTATGGTGCCCAGGCTGGCCTTAAACTTGTGATCCTCCTGGTTCACAGCCTCCTGAGTAGCTGGGATAACAGGCAAGACCACAACACTTAACCAAGAGTGCTTTATTTTTAAAACAAACACACAAACAAATGACAACCAAGATCTGAAGCCAGCATAGCAACATGCTAATGTTGGTAGGAACACATGTATTTAATATTCTGCATTTTTCTAAATACTTAAAATGATTCATAATTCACTATCTTTAAAAAGTATGTGGGCAATTCAAGAGGTAGATGGCAGAAAATAAAGGTTACTATTTGTTAATAGCAAAAAAGGAGACATAAAGATATCTTTAAGATAAACTTTAAATGGGGAATATTCTGGCCTCTTAGAGTGGACTGTGTTTATATAAGTGTGTGTACACTCACACACACTCGCACTTTCATTTGGAAATAGCACAAAACAAGGCCAGAGAATCGCTGCTGGTTGCCCTTAGCCTGTTAAGTTCTGTGGCTCACCAGGACCATCCAGTTATCAGTGCCTCCAAACAAGAGCCTGGTCTTTGCCTTTCAATATTTTTACTGAGTTCCTTTTTCCTGGCCTATTGTGTTGACTAAAATTTCTATAAAGGCTGACTCTTAACAGTGATGGATGTGTGTTATTTCTAACTTTAACAGAATAAATGCAGAAGCACGGTTTGAGACAGGATGGAAAAAGACAGGCATAAAGAAGACAAGAAAACTCAATTTTTATCTCCCTTATCACCTTACAACTTTGGGTCAGATTCCAGCTCAGCTTTGCATGCAGGCTTGTTAATCATTTAAGCAGTTTTCATGTTGTAAGTTTTATTAGCCCTAAATTTACCTGGCATATTTCATCTCCTTCTGGACTGAGGACACCAAGATAAGACTGAATAATTCTCAGGGTTTACAGAGACACCCATTTACCAGCTTTAACAGTGTCCAGTTTCAGAACCCCTGTGGTGATGCTTACAAGTCTCCAGCCTTGTCCTGAACCTGTAATTGCCTTGTACAGCCTTCTAAACCATCCCAGGATGAGGTCACCTCCCCAAAGGGAATGATTACCCAGGACAGGGCCTGAGGCTTCCCTCTCCCAAGCAAAAGCAGTCATCTAAGGGGAACCAAACTTCCCCCTCAAGCCAGAGGATTCCTGCAGAGCTATGAAGCTAGAGCCGAGATAATGACGGCCAGATCTCGGTCCATCTCAGCCAACCCTTAACAGGTGGCCTCATTTTAATTTTTTGTAAACTAGTCAGTCCAAACCTCTTCATCAGAGTGAGCAGCCCCTAGCTGTTCCAGCCATAGTCCTTTCCTATTCTCCAACTCTGCCTAATAAATCTGCCCGTGCCTCATACTGGCACATCCTGACCTTCTTTTCCTTAACAAGTGTCAAGAACCTACTCAGCGTGCTGAGCTGAGGCCCCAGCTTCTCTTTGGAGGAGCTCCTTGGATGTTGTCTGGTGACAAGGTTATCAGCAATTACTGAACGCACTGTGGAGTCAAGCGTATTGGGTTCCATCTTTGGCACAACCGCTGACCAGCTATCAATATCTGCAGTAACCTTATAAATAAGTCTTCCTTTGCTCACCTGGAAAATGGAGACTGTTTAGGAAAAGTTCACTTTGTCTGTGTTTTGTACACTGTTGGCCTTACCTGAATAGTTTCTTCTAGTCGATAGCACTCAAGGACTTGCAGTGTCTCTATAACTTGGTTTGGACTGAACTGACATAAGAGCTCAATGAACTGCTCTGTCATACTGGGAGATACTTGCAGCGATTCCTGATTTACATGAATACCTTCCCTGAAAATAAAAGGCAAGAGTCCCAAATTGTATCATTATTCCATCAAATCTGTAATTCAAGGATACACATAACAACCACATTACATTAAAACTGAGACTAAACTGTGAATGCTAAGTCTTAATGTTACTTGGGCTATTCAGGTAAACTACATGGTACATCAAAAGTATCTAAATAGAAATATTTCTAAGTTTACACTGAATAATTACAAAAATGATATTCTTTTGAGACCCTTTTAAATCATATGAAAAGTTTTACTTTTCTCTAAAAATAACAAGAAGATCAAAGCCAGTCTAAACAATATGACCCATAAATAACTGTACATAACCAACCATCTTCTAGGCTCAAAAACCACCTCTACCATTCTTCCCTAACAGCAGTGATCGCATTACAATGTAATACTTCTTTAATTATCTGTCTTCTCTCAAAGACTACAAACTCAGTGAGTGCGAGTACTCAGTGACCTTTTCACTTATAAATTTTCAAAGTTAACTAGTGTCTGGCATGTGGTGTTCTGTAACTGGTTCCTAGCACACAGATCCCGAGTCCCTTGGATTCTCCAATGTGATTGGTATTCTCTTAGAGTGAAATGACTAATGGCTGGGATGTATGTGTGTGCACACATACACCTTCTGTTAAAACTGACCAAAGAAAGCATATGTATGCTTTGTGAAATTCTCCCTTTTACATACATTTGAATGTTTATATCTTTATAACTGATGCTACTGTTAAATTCTCAAAAGAGTAGATAAGGTACAGGTCTAAAAGACATGCTTTTCATAGCCATTAATATTAGTAGTGAGTATGTTGCACAGCAGACTTCAGGGTACCCTCTGGTTGGGGGGCTGGTTGCTGTGGGAACAGTGTGATTAGAGGGCTGGAATTTTCCATTCCACTTCCACCAATCTCCAGAGAAGGACAGAGGCTAAAAGCTGATCACCACTGATCACTGAGGTAATCAGTAATAAAGCTCCATAAAAACCCAACGGGAAAGGGTCTGGAGAGCCTCCAGATTGTTGAACAGGTGGAGGTTCCCAGAAGATAGTAAGTACTGAGAGGGTATGAAAGATCCCAGCCCTTGCTACCTACCTTGCACTATGCATCTCTGATATCTACCTGTCCTTGTGTATCCTCTGGAATGTCCTTGATATGGAATATGGCACTAACCATAGGTACATGGTGTCAGAATGGAGTTACACCACAGGAAACCCAGTTCCACCAAGGAACCGTTGGATTGATATGTGAGGAAAATCCTCACACACATTTTGGTGACCGAAACAGTTTGGTTTTTCCTATATTGTCTCAGAGGGACAAGATTTTTGTCTTAAGAGAACACTATTAGATAAAAAAAAAAATGAGAATGTTAACCATTGTGCCTCCATACTAGCCAGAGTACTTTTCAGATTTTCACACCAAACTGTTGTTGTTGTTAGTAGTTTATCATCAGACTTGTGGTACTGTATATGTCTTATAAATGTCAGACCACACAGCAAATTAAGATTAGATATAAGCATCTGCCAAAGAATCACTTAATTTTTCCCAGAACATTTATTCACAAAACCATTTATATGAACTGAAGATGTGAATATGCATCAAACTACAAAAAAAATCACCCAAATATTTTGATGTGTTAATTTACAGGGAAAATCATGTGTCTGATGTGAAATGATCAATATAATCAAAACTATAATAAACTGTACTATTAATGAATTTATATCTATTTCTGACTGTTGCTTATTAGCTCTGCACATAAACATGGTTTGTTGTATGCATTTTCTAAAGCTATTTCTGTTATTCTTCTATTAGCCACCTGCTGTGCCACATACTCACCGTTAACATTAATGGCTATCAAAATTATGTCTTTTAGACCTACACCTTATCTACTTTCTTGGGAATTTATTTTAATAATAGCATCAGTTATAAGGATATAAACATTCATATGTATGTATAAAAGGCAGAATTTCACAAAGCATACATATGCTCTCTTTTGTCAGTTTTAACAGAAGGTGTATGTGTACCTTGTAGCACATGCATACACCCTCATACACCCTGAAATTCAGGCTGGAGAAATACGTATTTCCACTATTACTTGGGTTGTAAAATTCATTTTAAATTATAACCTTGTACAACTGCACCATTTCTGGGGAAGAATAAAAATATATAATTAGTTTTGAAAAACACTGAAATGATTTTAAAATTCAAATTCTGACAATATTTCTTTTGATAAAAGAAATGTGCTGGAATAAAAAGAGGCTGGTCTAGTTCCTCCTCCTTTCTCTAAAAACTACACACAAATAGGCCAGCCTAGAGTATTCCTCTGTCTCTCTAAGGAAGATGATTTAACAGTTTTTCTCAGTACTCATCGTGACAACTCAGAACAACTTTGGCTTAGCCTAAATTTTGTTTGTTTCAGTTCTCTGCTCATTCCCTAATATCCAGTCCTTGGAAATAGTGGAATATGACTATTAGTACAGTATTTTCTTTTTATCAGGACTGGAGCTGGAAGCCAAGGAGCACTAAACTGCATTCCCAGCCCTTTTTATTTTTCATTTTGAGACAGGGTCTCGGTAGGTTACTAAATTGTCCAGAATGGATTTTAACTTGCTATCTTCCTGTCTTGGCCTGCCAAATATGTGGGATTACAGAAGCGTCCCAACATGCCTGGTATTGTTCAGTACATTCAGATCGAGAATTCAGCTATATCACTCATAAGACATGAGAATAAAGAAAACTGCTTCTTCTGTAGCTTTCATTCAAACCAAGATGGTTTACAGTCCTTTTTGCTGAACTGATTTTTACACACATTCTCTGTTAGATGCTATCTTGTACCAAATGGGTAAAATGTACAATCTGTGTGAAAAATGTGATAATTACTTGTAGCAAAGACAACATCTAAACTATAAAATAATAAAAATAATGCCTACAACCTGACAACTGACAGGCAGAAACCTGCTCTTTGGCAAGAAGGAATCCAGTGGCATCCTTGGGTTCCTTGCAGTTCATGATGACTGCCAGAGTCCTTTAGCCAGGAACATCTGCAGTCCCTTACAAGTTTTTATGAGGCAGAGACCAAAGTAGACAAGCACACCATTTTGTGTAACAGCAAAGATTCTGACATCAAACCGATGTAACAGCAGATCTAAGATAGTCGGCTTAGGGGATTTGGTGACTTTCCATCTCCGTAGTTTGATTAACCAAGTGCCAGAGTATACTTCAAATCTTAATAAAATTTTTGTTACTCCTCTGACACTCATGAAAAAGAAAGTATCATTTTGATTGTTCTCTTGTATGGACAGGAAGAATGGATTTTATAAGCTAACATAAGGAAGAGCTTGGGCTAGGGATATTGCTCAGCTGGTGTACTGCTTGCCTGGCAAGCACAAGGGAAGGAAGGAAGGAAGGAAGGAACGAAGGAAGGAAGGAAGGAAGGAAGGAAGGAAGGAAGGAGCAAGCTTAATGATTTTAAGGACAGTAAGAATTATTTAGCTCCATAGTCATATTGGGAAGATCTTTCCAAAGCTGCACAGACTCCATTTAAAAGTCCACCAAGGAGCTTGGGCTGTAGCTCAGGATTTAATTCCTAGTACCAAAAACAAAAACTCCCATAGGGTAGCTACAACAATTTTCCAACGTATCATGATTAGTAGATAATAATTCTGCAGCCATCTTCATCACATATATTCTTCCTAATGTAAAGTTCTCTTTGTCACTAAGATCTGCTAGGCATCTAACAAGGGCTGTGTGGCCCAAGTTAAAGAAAAACTGGAAGGTGCACGCACTGGCAACCCAGCATAATACCTACACCGGTGCACTTTCAACCAAATACAAGTACTGTGATCCCACCACAGAGACATTCTTTAAATCAAACATTTTCCAAAAGTTGTTTTCAAAAAGAAAATTGAGAAAGAGAGAGAGAGAGAGAGAGAGAGAGAGAGAGAGAGAGAGAGAGAAAGAGAGAGAGATAGAGAAAGAGACAGACAGACAATATGAGAATGAATGAGCATGCAGGTGAAGTTGAAGGCTGCGATCAATTTGCTGCCTCTACAACCCACGAATGCAGAACACAGATTACAGCAATTCTGGGGGGTCGAAGGAGGGGCTACAGATGAGATCTTCCTCACAGCCCTCAGTAGGAACCAACCCTGCCAACAACCTGATCTCATCCTTTTAGTACCCCAAACTACAACAAAATAAACTGCTGTGTGTTGTTTAAGCCACTGTTTGTGGTGCTCTGTTAAGGTAGTTAACTGACATACCTGCCCTCAAGGGAAACTTTGATCAGCACCTAACTGACTAGGGTTTTACCACAGCCTAAATGGCCAGAGGAAGATGAAACAGTCAAATGGCATACTCTATTCTAAGATTCTTGTATTACTCAGGAAGTGTTACAGTATCATTTGTAATTGGACTTGGATGAGTTATAAGTGTATCCTACAAACTAAAGAGCAACCACTAAAAAAGTTTTTAAAAAGGGAAATATGAGTGTTATACTGAGAGGTAAAAGTGGATTCATATAAAATACCCAATTAAAATCAGAGAAGTAGAAAATAAGTGAAAGCCAACAAAAAGAAAAGAAACAAAGATCAAAGACAATGACAGAAAACAGTAATATATTACTAGAAACAGAGTTTTAAATGCCACAATGAACCTTAAAATGCATCTTTCTCACTTAAAAAATAGAGGAATATGAGTAGTTAGAAAGATTTCTTTAAATACAAATTAAGCAATTTTTTGAAATTTTACTTACAACCCAATTATATCAGAAATTTAAAAAGCAACGAGCAAACTCTTCCAAAAGACCAAGAATTACTCTCATTTTTAATGTTAAGAACATTTTTTCGGGCAAAGAACAGGGTGAACATTATTTATATCTGTACGTATTCTCCGTCTTATCCTTTAGTCACAGGTAGTATGCGCGCACCCTCAAATGCTACACATTTTTCCTGCTTAGCATTACTTTACACATTGCTTCTCAGCCTTTTGGCTAAGATCAAGTATAGCA